ACTACCCACATAAAATACCCACATAAAAGTTTCTTCACTGGCAAATGGCCTTTTTGGATTCTCACAGGAGTTCAATGTAGCTGTCAGAAATCTTGATGTTGAGTACCAGGGAGATTCAAGCTGAGTATTAGTTTCAGGGTAATCGCACAAGTTGGAAAAAAAAATTTTTTTTTTTTTTTGAATTTATACTTGATCTTTCAGACGTGTCCCTGGTAGATCACGAAATACAAGCATGCGCACAGACTTTTGCAGTTACTCTGGTAGGAATCAAAAAGCACCTCCAGGAATGCTTTGGAACATTTATCTCTAAGGATAAAGCCACAATTTGTTTTTAGTCATCATGGACTAATAGCTAGTATTATTCATGTTTTTCATTATTGATGACAAAAATCGAAGGAGAAAAAAAGTTCAATGCAAACGCCACAATCTCAAAACACATTAGTATTTCATTTGCGTTATCTTTATTTGGTTACCTGGTAACCAACTTCAGAATCACCATCCTCAAAAGTACTTATTAAGTACCTAGAGTTATAGGTTGTGCCATATGATATACATTTAAAATGTATTAAGCAAGACAAATCCATGCCATCTAAAAGTTWTTCATTATTTGGTAATAAAGCAGTGTAGTATCGCTATTGTTCCCAGATATGTATCCCTGCCAGAATGGCAAGTATTACTGGATTACCATCGAAGTGTCAGGGAAATAATCTATCCACATTAAACACTAAGTAGGCTAATAGCAAGTCATTATTCATCTTGACTATAATTGAACTTTACCAGAGAGATGCCAGAAAGAAAAAGCAATTTTAATTCACTTAAATTGCCTAGCTTGCTGAAGAAAATCTTCTAAGCAAAATGGAAAAATAATACATTCTGCCATAAGTGATACATTTTGATTACTCACTTGAAGAATTTAGAGCTAATACTTCCTTAGGTAATTTCCTCTTACTGAGAAAGCTTAATTCTAAACTCACTCAAAGCATTGCTTGGATTTTGCCCCTGTAGAAGAGTTACATATTGTACAATAGCAACTTAAAAATAAGTTTTTATTTATTTTAATTAGGTATATATGACAGTAAAATGCATTTTGATTCATTGTACACAATTGCAGCATAACTTTTCATTTCTCTGGTTGTACACAATGTAGCGTCACACCATATGTGCAGTCATACCAGTACCTAGGGTAATAATGTCCATTTCATTTCACCATCTTTCCTGCTTCCATATCCCCTCCTTTTCTCTCCCTCCCCTTTGCCCAAAGTTCCTCCATTTTTCCCATGCCCTTCCCCCATATGGATCAGCAGCCACTTATCAGAGAGGACATTCTGCCTTTGGTTTTGGGGGGATTGGCTTACTTTGCTTAGCATGATACTCTYCAACTCCATCCATTTACTGAAAATGCCATAATTTTATTCTCTTTTAATGCTGAGTAAWATTCCATTGTGTATATGTACCACAGTTTCTTTATCCATTCATCTATTGAAGGGCATCTAGGTTGCTTCCATATTTTAGCTACGATAGCAACTTATTTTAATAATAGCTCTTAAACAAACATGTTTTCCATTATTGACTGCCTGGGACTCAGATATAAGCCTATATAGTTAATTTCTGTTTGCCCACCTGCTTAATCAGAATCATGAAAATTAGGGGCACTCTTTAKCTTTGTACAGTATGCACCTGTGTGACTATGAATATCAGATGTATTCTTTTGTAGAATAAAGCTCTTGGGCTTTGCTCCTAAAAATCTCTTTTATTTTTAAATTCTGTGTTGCTGTTTTGGCCGTCCTAGATGTTGAGTTGATGATTTTTAAAGAGAGTTTTTAAAAACCTGTACAAAAGAGAATGGGACTTGTGGATAATTTAGCTGTGCTTTAGGACTAATTCTCCTTCTAGAAGTAAGGAAATCAGAGAAACATTAGAGTGAAGATTTTTATTCTTGTCTTGATTCTTGAGGCACATTTTCCCCTTACCAGCTAGATGATAGGAGTGTCATTCATTTAACTTTATTGGTGCATAATTGCAAGTATTACAATGAATATGTACAACCATGACCCAAATCTGAATTATATTGAGTGAGTCAGGAAAATGATGATAAGTAATTATAAGGAAATGTTTTCAGTGTTCTCCAGGAGGTAAAAAGGGTTTGGATAAAAGTGCTCCAAGCCTAGAAAATATGAGCACTGGAACATTAGGATTGGGGATTCTTCATCTTTTCACTGCTGAACAATTTTTTTCCTCAGTAGCACAGAGAGGGTGTAAATTCAGCAGAAGGGCTGAAAGGATACTTATATACTTAGAAGATAACACACCAAGTATGCCCTATTTTCTCCTGAAAGTTTACCACAGGAGAGCAGGAAAATCTGGGGTTACTTGCCCTCTAAGCCTATTTCTTTATGAAAATGAAGATAATACCTTCCCTACATGGTGAGGTGATTAGGAGGATTAAGTGACAAAGCCCTTTAGCATATCTACCTGTTTGAATTAATAAGTTAGAACACTGTGATTATAGTCATTTATTACCTTTTTGACTTAGAAAAATGAATTATACTATTTCTTGTTACTATTGCCTACATTAATATAATAGGTTTTTATTTTTTTAGTRAGTCTTTGCTTATGTGTGAGCTTTAAATGTGTGTATTGTTTTTTTACATATATATTGCACTTTATATGAGTGTAATAGAAACAACGGTTCTAACTCTTTAAGTAATTTAATCCCCTTCTTGCAAATTTCAGAAGAGAAATAGAGTGATATAGTATCACTATATATATATCTCCAAAATTATTTTCTTCTTGAAATGTTCAATTGTTAAGGTTTCCTTAAAATCATCTCACCTTTCTATCTCTTATTGAAGTATAGAAATAGTCTCTTTCTTTCTAGAGCAAGAAAATGTATCATGATTTTTTTTTTGGATATTTTATTATTCAGTTGTTATCAATATATACTGGGGAACTACAACTTTTAATGTCCACTAACTATTTATTCACTTGGTGTTTGCTGAGCTKCTATTGTCACAGATTCAAAATTATCTTCCCCATTCAACARGTATTTATTAAGCATCTACTGTGTGCCACATCTTGTGTGTCCAAGAGTATGCTCACCTCAGTGGAAGTGATTTATTCAATATTTATTTATGGATTGATTCCTGGAATCATTGCTTTATTTTATGGTGTTCRCCAAGCAGGTCAATTGCATTTAAGTAGAAATGCTGCTTGTTTAATAATAAGATGTCTTGTGAGTCAACAATGCATGCCAGCAATTAGGGAAATAGCATATGAAGCATTTTACAAATAATACTCTTTAGGTTAACACATTTTGCTTTTGGTATTGAGTCTCGTGTCTTATTTTTCAGTGCTTTTCCTGTTGATCTAATTGAGTAGGGAATACCCATTTTTAAGAGAAACACTGCTGCCTCAGGAAGTGTGTTCAGATGTTTAATTATTTACATGCCCTCTATTGCTTTCTGTTGAATCATAGTTCTACAGAAGATTGTTGATTTTTTTTTGGCATTATTAGTATTGCTGTTCACTTTTACTTTATACAGAAATAAATCAGCAGGCTCATAGGGACCTGRAAAATTCTACTTTGTCTTGCTTATATATTTCCAACTAACAGTCTCATAAAAAGTCTGTGGGTCAAAACAGCAATTCCAACAGTGAACAAACATGTTGAGATGTTGCTCTATTAGATGCTTTAAATATTCATGCAGATATTTTCTTCCACAAWAAATCATCCTTTAAAAAAATTATGSAATGTTTTTAACTGTTTATGTGTGTATGTATACACATACACTTGAGAGAGAAGAGAAAGAAAAATGAGCCCCCATGCTTCATCCCCTTTCCTCAATCTTCCTATATTTTTGGTTCTGTTGGTTTCCTGGGGTATCAAACCAAATATAAAACATGTAATTATATTCACAAATGTTTCAGTGTTAACCAATAGCTGATAAGTACTTTAAAAATTATGGCTAACATTTGATTTTATTGCAAACCATGGTCCAAAAAGTTCTACATATTGTATTTGATTATTATGTCTCAAATTAATTTAATCTAGAAGAGCCTTAAATTTTTATTCCACACTACAACTTTACAAAATGTGTTCATTTGTCTTGTAGAATGTCACACAGTTTAGAATTACCCCTTTTATTTTATAAACAGGTAATCAGATAAGAGATTTGGTTAAACTCAAGTTCAAATTTTGAAGCAAGATGTATTATAGATGGTTCTGTGTTCTTCCAGCTGTGTTGTATATCTGACCATTATGCATTTATTAATGATATATTAGAATTTAATACATGTCTTTTTTGATGCAGAGGGTTTTCAGGAATCCCTGTTGGGGTAGCCATGAGTCATGTAACTTGCATTTTAGTGTTTCAAATCATCAATGACTTTTAAATCATCAATGATTACTCCAAGATTATTTTTAATACTATATTCTACTAGGAAAGAAGCAGTTTCAAATGACTTTCTTGTCCCATACAACCCTGGTTATCAAATATTTTCAATAAAAAACAATTCTTGTAAAAATCCATATAAACTAGCTCAACAAACTCTAAAGCATAAAATTAATTTTTCATTGAAAAGATTGCTTTTTTAAAAACTTTTATTTATTTTTATGTGATGCTGAGGCTCGCTACCCATACTAGGCAAGCACGCCACCGCTCAGCCACAACCCCAGCCCTGGAAATGATTGTTTTTTATTCCTCAACACTATATTGTTGAAACTTTTCATCACAGAGTCGGAAAAGAGAATACCACCACGTTGACATGATACTTACTACATTGGTCAATCTGTTGGRTGATAGTTGGTCTAGGGAAGTCCAACAGAACACCAAGTGTCCAAGTAGACTGAGGTCCCTTTTCAGGGAAGAAAAATTCCCTAAGACTATGTTCTTCGAACTTACAAAGGAAGGAAACTGGTACAAAAGCTGTTTCCTGAGGGATAAAAATAAATTGTTTGAGGAATTTTGTTCATGAGTCTTAACTTATTTATTTGTTTATAGGAAGAAATCTTTCCTGTTTTCTGCTCTGTATGCTGCCTTTATCTTTGGTGGTCGGCACCTAATGAACAAACGGGCGAAGTTTGAACTGAGGAAGCCATTAGTGCTCTGGTCTCTGACTCTTGCAGTCTTCAGGTAGGATTTTTTTTATTATCTAATAACATCCACCTATGTCATCAGACTTGCTGAAAGAAAGCAATAATTGAGCATCTTATTTCATATTTGATATTTTTGAGTATTGAATACACTGTGGACACCAAGCCTTGTTCAGAGAAAAAGCTTTCATTGCAACCATATTTGCCATGATATACTCCATCTCTAATTTTGAGAGTTCTCAGGCCATCTCCTTCCCTGTCCAAATTGTTCATGTGGTATAGCCCAGTTCATCTGTTATGACTAGAAGCAGTGAATCAATTCCATTACTTTTGTTTGCTTAAATATAAGTGAAGGACCAAATGGAAAGCCACACAAGTAAATTGTGGAAGTCCATTGGAAAGCAGGGTTCAGATGTCATGGCTGGACTGTTACTAGGACTTGATCAAAAGATGACACTCAGGTGGGTGTGGTAGCCAAGCCTATTATCCCAGTAGCTGGGGAGTCTGGGGCAGGAGGATTGTGAGTTCAAATCTAACCTTAGTAACTGAGGCCCTAAGCAATTCAGCAAGACTTTGTCTCTAAATAAAGTATAAAAAGGGCTCAGGATGTGGGTTCAGTGGTTAATGGCTCCTGGGTTCAATCCCTGGTACTGGAAAAAAAAGGAGGGGGGATGGAATTCAGACATATGACCAGACACTCAATATGTGTCTGGGTCAGCATCATTACACTGGTGAGTTTCTTGCTCTTTATCCCCAAAAGCACCCTCCACCCTCATTCCCTGAACTGACTCACTGAGCAAATGTTTTGTGTAGCCAGTTCTTATTTTGCATCTGGCAGAACTCACCATAAGAGACTTTTAGGAAAAGGGCTGTTCTCTCTCCAGGGGCAGCTGTCAGCCAACATGCAGACACATTCCTCTGGAAGCTTGAGGGAGCATTTCCAATCTTGAAATATTTGGTGATGTAGGCCATCATAAGACTAATTAACACACAGCTGGTGTCCAAGCAGGTGCCAGAATTTACCTACAGCACTAACAAAGGCACCTGTTCTATTTGTGATCTGCTTGTCAAAACCAGCAAGTTTATGACTAGGCTGGGGAGGGGGTGGGTGAGGGACTGAGCAGATGTAGGTTTACTACAAAATAAAAAACTATCCATTTTAGTATTTATGAGTATTCATTTGTATTTTTTATATTGTATATTGACTGTTCTATCATAAGCAAAAATGGATGGTGTCATTAAAAGCCTCATTATTCTCTTAAAGCTTATTAAATATGATCAAGCAGGAAGAGTGTTTTTCCATGAAACTTGTAGGATCTATACATTTCTGTTAGGTTGGATCCCTGCATCTAAAACACTCATTTGCTCACTGCTACCAAGCTTATTTTTTATTTCATAAGGCATGAGGTTTGATGGACTCGTGACTTGGATCTGTCGGTAAAGACTCCTTCCATTTCAATCTGTGTCAATATTCTCTATAATATAAAGTAGCATTTTCTTTCTTACTTTTTTTTTGGAGGGGTGTACCAGGGATTGAACCCAGGGATGCTTAACCGCTGAGCCATATCCCCAGACCCCCAACACTTTCTTTCTTTCTTTCTTTCTTTCTTTCTTTCTTTCTTTCTTTCTTTCTTTCTTTCTTTCTTTCTTTCTTTCTTTCTTTCTTTCTTTATTTCTTTCTTCTTTCTTTCTATTTTGAGACAGGGTCTTGATAAGTTACTCAGGGCCTCGCTAAGTTGCTGAGACTGGCTTTGAACTTGTGATCTTCTTGCATCAAGCTGCTGGGATTACAGGCATGCACCACCATCTCAGCTTCTTCTTTTTTTTTAATATTTATTTTTAAGTTTTAGGTGGACACAATATCTTTATATTTCACATTTATGTGGTGCTGGGGATCTAACCCAGTGCCTCACGCATGTTAGGTGAGTGCTCCACCATTGAGCCACAACCCCAGCCCACTTCCTTTTTATTGACATTCAGAGTTGACCATGTATGCCAAAGTATTTTGATATTTGAAGGAAAAATTATTTCTATTCCAATGAAGCTTTTCAGCCCTTCACTAGTTTTTCAATATTCCCTGAGCCTTTATCATTTGTTATTTTAAACGTTAACATGTAAACAGAGAAAATAATACAGTGGCTCCCAGGCACTGTGACCCAGTTTGAAGGATTATTGGTGCTTGGCTAATCTTGTTTTATCCACATACCCAACTTCCTCCTTATCCCCAAATAATTTGGAAATAATATAGACTGTAGTAATTCTAACTGAAATGATACCAGGGCTAAAAGATAAGTATTCTTTTTAAAAAAGGATATCATTAACTCAGTTAAATTAATAATAATTCTGTTTTGTTAAATGTCCAGATGTTTTCTTTTATCTCATAAATGGTTTCATTTTTACAGTTTATTTTTAAAAACCTGGATCAAATAAGACCTGTGCATTTCCGTTGATTCATTGGTTCAAAGTAGAGATTTCTTCCCCTTGCATGTCCCCACCCCATCTCTTACCCTTCCACCCCCTCTTCCCACCCTCTTTTCCTTCTTATAATTCCTCCTTGACAACCAGATCATTTACCCCATAGAGTTCCTCCCTGGACTAGATGTTTTGCTTGATTGTATTCTCCTGTTCCCTGTGTTTTCTACAAGTTGGTAGTTAGATCTAGAAGTTTAATTTTACTCTGGTTTAATATTTGACAAGACTTTTTCTAAGAAGAAATTTCATTATCTGAAGTATATGTTTTTTAATTATCTTGAAGTACAAATAGTTATTATAGCAAAGGCAAGGTAAATGCTTCTTTGCCTKTATATCAGTTTTTTAAAGATTGATTACCTGCATGTGATTGATAAGGGTTGTTTTCTTAAATATTATGAACTACTAAATTTATATGTTTCTCGTGTGTTAGTAGTTTTGAGACATTCGAGTTTGGTGTGTGGATCCATTGCTATTTCTTTCTTTTCTTTCTTTCTTTCTTTTTTTTTTTTTTATGGTGTTGGGGAAGTACCTGAAATTGAATCCAGGGGTGCTTAATTGCTGAGCCACATTCCCAGCCCTTTTAATTTTTTATTTTTAGACAGAGTCTCTCTCAGTTGCTGAGGCTGGTCTTGAACTTGTGATACTCCTGGCTCAGCCTCCTGAGTCACTGGAATTGCAGGCATGTGCCACCACACCTAGCTCTTTGCTGTTCGCTTTGATGTGGATGCCTTGCTTGTTTTTCCATAGACATGTTGCAGGCCAGCCCTGCTGTATAGTCCCTGTTTAGATATGGATCAGCCATTTCTCYAGATATGGAACTGCCACACTTCCAGACAGCCCTAACTCTTTGGAGTAGAGAGATATTTAAAAAACATTTTCTGAGTACTAGAGGTGGTTGTTGCCAGGCCTTTTCAGAAGCCAGAAATGGAAATTTATGTATTTATTTTTTTAAAGAAATACATTCAGCATTGGTACTGATACTTCTAATTCAAATTTAGAACAAGAGAGATTTTTCCTTGACTATCTTTTTCTTTCTTTCATGCTCCAAACCCAAGTTCCCGGTGATGGCAAGTAATTACTCATCTCCTTTATCCTATAAGGCATATGCAATCGCCACTAACAATATATCATCTTTTTAAGTCTGACAAGATCTCATTTCCTTTCTGTTACCCTGTATATGCAGTAACAACTTCAAAACAAATTGCAGCTACAGGATAAAGAAAACTCTTTCCCTACTTAGCATATGTATACATACACACATACACACAAAATGCATTTTTTCCACTCCCCACACATGTATGCTATTCCCTATCTTCAGAGGCAACTCTGGTAAAATGATACTTTATCTGGGACCTTGCATCATAAGTTTCAGTGCCAAGCCAGAGTAACTCTCGTCTTCCCTCAACATAAAACTGCCACACTTCCCTAGCATTAGGGCATCCACCCAGGCAATGGGGACATGTTGCATGACTTGGGCTGCTTTGTCCTCTCYCTCTCTTTTTTTTTYCCCCTCAGATGTTACAACTTGTTCCTTGTTCCTTGGCCCAGACTGGATCCAAATCACAATAAAGTGACACTGATTGAATCACTTGGCTCTTTTTTGAAAACTTAAGACTAATAATAAGAAATGGCAATTTCCCGTCCTCTAGAATTAAGGTAGAGTTTATAAACTAGAGTCTGTGCATCCTGCTCTGCTCTGGACAGCCTCAGTTTTATGCCCTGGGTCCCAGTGTAATTATTCATATCTCCCTATTTACTCCCCCMAAAGTCCCACTTTCAATGATAAAATGGCATTCTATTTATAACCCACTGAGAAATTGTGCTGGCTCAATTAAACAAAAAGAAGAAAGAATAYCAAGGTCACCTGCCAATTTACTGCTAACTAATCTGTATTTTTAGTGTTGTCTGAAACTTCTCTTATCTGCAACATTTCCAAATATTGGATCCATCATCACTCAAATTTAAAACATGCAAACCAGATACCTTTTTGATATCCTTCTGCTTATAAAATGTATGGCATTCCAATGAACATCTTTTAAATCATTCAGAATATACAAGTCACCTTTCCAACCAATCCCCAAGCTGTATGGATTCTTCTTCAGTATCTTAGGTCCCTGTCGACACCTCTCCATCTCCAGGCCTTCCAGCATGGACTCCATCCCTTCCTGTCRTAGTATTCCACCCTCTAACTGCTGCCCCTATCCACGGTACTCTACATACCACATCATTTCCCTCTTTAAACATTAGCTGAGACTCCTTTGTCAGTAGGTCAGAACCTCAATCTAACCATAAAAACTTACCATCTTTTCTCATCCACTTTTCACCCTCGCCCTATGCAAATGTTTCCATCCAAACGAACATGGAATGTCTGGTKKTTGCCCACAAAACCTTGCCCATTCCTAATGACACATCTTTGAACACACTGAACCTCCTTCTCTTTCTCCATACTCCCCCCACTTTATTCTGTAAGTGTTCACCATCACTTAGAATTTCTTCTCTGATCATTTCAGCCCATACCTCAGCTTTGASAGACCTTGTTGCTCCCTCCTCATGCAGCAGACTCAGACT